TAGAAAAATGTTAAATATTAATTAAAATTTTAAAAAATGATTCAAGTAAGAAAAGTAAAAGTAAAAAACTCAAAATTAAATTAAGAAATAAGGAAAAACTCAAAATTGAAAACAAAAAATAAAAAATGCATAATAAAATATGTAAAACTGGAACATTGTAGATCGAATTTTAAAACTAAAAGAAAAGTAATAAATTTAGATTCTTAAATATACCAACTACACAATTTTTGTTTCTGTATAGAAAAACTATTGAAATTCATTAAGATTTAGAAATATGAAAATGATTATAAATAAATAACAGTAAGTTGAATAAATTTAAATTAAAATATCAAGGAATACTCAAATTCGAAAATAAAACTTCAAAGAATGCATAATAAAAGAGGAAAAACTTAAAACTTTTCAATCAAATTTTAAAAATAAAATAAAATTGATATTAGTTTTAAAAAATTAGAAAAATGTAAAATATGCTAACAAAAATTAAAGAAATTTGAAGCTAGAAAATAAAAGAAATTAAATTAGTTTGAAATCTGGGAGAGTTGTAAAAAATGAACACAATTTGGTGATGCACATTTAAAAATTGTTAATATCGTTTATATAAGACTATAAAGCTTTGAAAATGAAAAGAAATTTGAAAGCTTAGTAACAAATTAAAACCTGGTTTAATACCCTAAAAACCTGAAAATAAAAAAAAAATTAAAATAAGGTAAACCGGTTTTTAAAATATTCAAAAAACATCATAAAAAATCTTATAAAATAAAAACCAAAAATAATTTATAAAAAAAAAAAACAGAAAATAAAATAAAAACTGCAAAAATAAGAAATCAGAAATAAAAAATGTGAAAAATGTAAAAAAATGTAAAAAAATATACCTGAATATTTTTGAAAAAGTAAAAAAAAATGTGATTTTTGTAACTCAATACTTTTAAAATGGTTACAGAATCTAATAATTATCATGATAATTTTAGTGCTAACTTTTGTTTCCGATTGTTTTTTGTGTTTATTTTTAGTTATAACTTTGAAATTTTGGGTTTTTATTGTTTCTTCAGGTTTCTTGCTATAGTTGGTACTCATAAATCCAAATTTATTACTTTAGATTATTGTATATAAGTCTATACATTACTTTGTACGGTAAGTAAAAAATATAAATAAATGATAAAAATTAAAATCAATTATAAATAACATTAAGTAACATGTCACAACAAAAAGCAACACGCTGCAACAAAAAACAACACGGTGCAACAAAAAGCAACACATACCATACAACAAAATGAAACAAAAAATCCAACATATAGATATATCACAATAGATATGTAATTTCATCTATTGCTTTAATTCAGTACATATACAACATTATTTTGACTCTATTTCTTGTTGTTTCTTCTTCTTTTAATGCATCTTTAGACACATTAATTAAAATCAATTATAAATAACATTAAGTAACACGTCACAACAAAAAGCAACACGCTGCAACAAAAAACAACACGCTGCAACAAAAAGCAACACATACCATACAACAAAATGAAACAAAAAAACCAACATATATATATATATATATATCACAATAGATATGTAATTTCATCTATTGCTTCAATTCAGTACATATACAACATTATTTTGACTCTTTTTCTTGTTGTTTCTTCTTCTTTTAATGCATCTTTAGACACATTTCTTCATAATTTACTCTCTTGTCTTGATTTTCTTCGTTGATCTTCGATCTCAATCTTATTAGCATCTCCATGCACTTTTTTTTTGCGCCTCCAATAAGAACACAATCACCATAATTCAAGTAAGACGAAAAATAAGTAAGAAAAAAGAACTGATGCACCAAATTATATCCACAAGAATATGAAAACAAAATCCAAGTGATCAAGCTTTGCATAGACATATAATTAAAGAAAGACTGTTATCTAAACAGAGAACATAATGTCTATCATGAGGAGAGGTGACTCTTAAAGACATTCCATTTATCAAGATGTATAGGTAACCTGACTGAATAGAGCATTACAACTGGCGAGCGATCGGGTCTGGCGGAGGAAATCGGAGTAAGAAAGCCTCTGGCCCGGGGAGGCGTCAATAAGGATGGACTCTGAAGCGTCCATTTCGGGCAAACGAAGCAGGGAGAAGGTGTATTGGGCAACGGAAAAGGCTGATTGGAGGCGGCCGGCAAGGAGACCGGCGGTCGGAGGCTGTGGAATGTTTTGGTTTCAGAGCAATACATACTGGTCGGGTCAATAGAAGCATGTGTATCCATTGATAGACAGTCTCTTCAGAGATTTGTCGGGAAGAAAGTAATTAGTTCGATAATGAACAGAAAAGAGGAAAAACGGATGAACTACCAGAGTAAAACGTTTACCAAAACAGTTCTATATTCCTTAAATAAGACTTCAAAATGCTTTTTAAAAAGACCTGATATAACAGGAGTGGATCGGATGGCTAAATTCCCAACCCGCAACATTGGATCACTAGTTTAATCTGAGAGGTAAATCAAGAGTTCAGAATTGACATTTTCACAGTTGGTACTCTTCTTAAATTGTTGCATATCTTCCAAAAAACAAACTTACCTCTGGTGCAAAACCCTCTCTATGTGGTCAATTTTTCCGTAGAGCAGCAGGAGTTTGAAAAAGTGAAAAATAATAGTTTTTGTATGCTCAACTTCTTAATTTCAGTGTAAAAAAGTCTGCATTTATAAAATATTACAATACTAAGTATGGAATTAGATACAATGAACCAATTCCTATAAATTACAATAATTTTTTAAATGAAAAAGATAGGATCAAAAGCTATCAAGTAACAACCAGATTGACATTGCCCATGACCATGACCACATAATGTAACAACCAGAGATGTCATAGTACTCAATCATTCTAGCATTAACAACCACCTATGTTATTGGTAAAATAGAGAAAGTACATCATTCAAATTGAAATATCAGAATAAACGAATCAAATGGTGTATATGCAGAAAAATGAGAAAATCAAAATGTTTTTAGGTTATGCATAACTATCTTCCATTAATATTCAGTATAAATTAAAAGTAAACGAATTAATATTAATATTAATATTAATATTTAGGTTATTAATATTAAGCACAGAAAAGGCATGATATCAACCAGGATCAAACGATGGAAAAAAAATCAAATGATGCAAAGTAATTTAAGTACGCTCACGTAGTCACTCCGATCCATTCCACCACTGAGTTTCTCCAGGCAGTTTGTGACATCCACCATTGCTGGTGGGGCATATTAGCACACAGTCGCTTCATTACGAAACATGATCTAAACATAAACGAGATCTGAAAAATGAAAGAATAATACTATATAAAGATCTCAGTACCATAGATTTACCTTGAGGACATGATCTAGATAATGAAACTCACAATATGAGTCTCCGACTCGAATTAACTTTGACCTGAGCGTTGTGAATCGCAATTCAGCCATGATTGAGATAGTAAATCTCCTAAACGTGGTTGTCGGCTTGGATTACGGCCTCATCCCGGCCATGGAGTCCCCTTCCAAGAGAAGAAAGTTGGAACTCATCGTCCACTCTCCAGGCCTTCCAATAGCAATCCCAAATTGTCTGATACGCAAGCAGCCGAGCCATTGCTCTTCAATCTCTATATTATTGCAATAGCAAGATTTAACAGCAGATGCGAAAAGATGGTAGAATTAGCGAGAGTAGCAAGGGGAGGAATGATTTTTGAGCAAAAGAGCGCAGATGCGAATGTCCAGATAAAAGCCAACTAAAACTGAAATAAAAAAACAAAATTGAAAACAGAAGAGTTTAAAAGTGAAAAGAAAAAAGAGTTTGCACATTACTGATATACGGGCCACAAAAGTGGCCCAAACGGGTAATTTCCACAAGAATTATACCATAGTCCATAGCTACCGGTAGTGCTGGACTCGGGCCGGGCGGCCCGGCCCGGTTACTGTTTGGCCCGGCTCGGCCCGGGGCCCGGTGGGTCCACCGGTTCGGTTCGGCCCGGCCCGGCTGCTGGGCGGTTCGGGCTCGGGCCCAGGTTTTGGTGAACCGGCCCGGCCGGTTCGGGTCCGGTCCGGGCCGGATTTTAATTTTTTTTTTGAAATTTTTTTAAGTTTTAGGTTGGATTAGGTATTTTGGGCCATTTGAGGTGGTTTGGGATGGTTTGGGGTTGAGGGGGAGGGGTAGGGGATTAAATAGGAGAACAAAAAAAAAATAATTGGGCCGGTTCGGCCCGCCCTGGCCCGGCCCGGTTTGGCCCGGAACCGGGACCGGAACCGGCCACCGGCGGTTCGGGCTCAGGCCTCCCCTTTCCTGGCCCAAGGCCCGGCCGGGCCCAGGCCCGAACCGGGCCCAAACCGGCCCGAGTCCAGCCCTAGCTACCGGTTTAGGGTGTCATTGTTGCTGTCACTAGTGTCATGTCGCTGCCGTAGTGAAGCATGTCATTACGTCATTACGATCACTAGAAATTTTTCTAGAGAAAATAAAATTGGGCAAGTGACCTTGATTAATACTAAAAGTTATAATATAAGTTATTATAAGTTTTATTATAAGTTTTATACTTGTGTAAAAGTATTTTTAACAATAGCTTTGTATAAATTTTACTACATATATTACAAAAATTTTCTGCATAATAAAGCATGGGTCAAAGATTAATACTATATATTGACAAAAAACTAGGAAAGATAAATTTTAAAGAATGGAGTACGTATTATTGCGTATTACGTATATATTGTACGTAGTACTACTTCACAGTTCACACTATATTACATAATTACACATATGCTCCGTACTTCATAGTTGACATTTTCTCTTGTCTAAATTTACTACCAAAGGAAACAAATACGTTTATTATTGAACGCCACTTCACCACATGCATTATTCTGACTTACTCCGTACTAATTAGTGTCATAGCGTGTGAACTAAAAATTGAACCACTTGCGCCACTTGCGGATATCAACGACCTTAATAGATAGTCAAAGTAAGAAAGACAGCTATATATACGAAAAATAACGAAGCATTAATAATTTTAATAAATAATACACATAGCCAAAGAAATACTATGAGAGAGGCACTACTTACTGCCATTCTTCTAATCAAAAGTCAAAACACTTAAACACTACTATCATGCAGCCAATACGCAAGTTCGTTGTTTGCCTTCAACTTGCCTCCTTTATCCTCCACTTATTGCTTCTTTCACCACCAACCATAGCCCAAACTCCACCTTCTAAGGCTACAACCACCACCACTACAATCACCAAAGGCGCCACCATCACGAAACCGGGATGCCCACGAAAGTGCGGAAACCTAACGGTTCCATACCCGTTTGGAGTGGGCTTAGGCTCGGGTTGCGCTCTCAACCCGAGCCTGGAAATCAACTGCAACGCATCGAACAATCCTCCAACGCCTCTAATCACATCGAACCAGCTCCATGTATACGACATCTCTGACTCCCACGTCTGGATCTCCAACTCCGTTACTACCCGATGCTATACCTCGACGGGGGGCATGCTCGGGCAAAAATCTGCTGGGATCGACCTCGGCGATTCCAGCCCATACACTTTCTCAGATAAAAACAAGTTCACCGTTGTCGGGTGCGACGACTCCGCCGTCATGATCGGACACAACCTCGGGAACGGGAAGAACTTCGCCAACGGCTGCGCCGTCTCTTGCAACAAGCCGGAGGATGTGATCGGCGGAAGCTGTATAGGTTCCGCCGGTTGCTGCCAAATCACGATCCCGAATGGATTGAAGACTGCTAATGTAACTAATATGCGCTCCCCGTCCGGTCATGCTCGGGTCTGGTCCGGTAACCCCTGCGGGTACGCGTTTATAGGGGAAGCCGGCCGGTATAGTTTCCGGGGCTCCGGTGACCTTAAAAATCCCAATTTTAGTACGATGGTTGGGGAAAGCGTTCCGATTGTACTAGATTGGGCTATAGGGAATCTGAGTTGTGAGGGAGCAAGGAAGAAAGATGATTATGCGTGTAAGGAGAAAAGTCATTGCGTTGACGTTGACTATGATTCTGGAGGTTACCGTTGTAGCTGTGACGATGGTTATAGGGGCAATCCTTATATCTCTCTGGGCTGCCAAGGTACGCTACCATCTTTATTAATTATATATATACGGAGTATTGCACATTTCCACTCCAAATTAATAATATTCTGGTAGTCTTTTTAGAAAGAAAATATTATTAATATGCTTCCATTTAATGATTTATTCAGGTCCATGTTTGATAGGTAAAATACCTACTTTAAAGTTTTTGTACTATTAAAACGTCTCTAAAAGTTCTTAATTTTTGACGACACTTTTTAAGAGTTTTTTAAAAATAAAATATCCTTTTTAGATGCTATAGTGAATAACCTCTTTGAAAAATCTGTAGTTTTTAACATTAGTTAACTAATTAGTCTCAACAACTTCTATGACAAACATAACTAGATCAAATAGTTAGTTTTTTTTATCAAACAACCATCAGATTTTTCTTTTAAGATTTTTAAGCACTAACAGTATTCAAAGACTTACTCCCTTCGTCCCGAAATTATCTTCATTCTTTCCTTTTCGGTGCGTCCCAAATTTATCTACTCTTTTTCTTTTTGTTAAAAGATTTGTGGTTCACAACCATTCTTACACATTTTTCTCTTCTCTACACAACTCTCCACCACACATTTCCCACTATTTTAATCTCCGTGCCCAGTCAAAACCAAAGTTTAATTCTAGGACGGAGGGAGTATTAAAGTATTTTTCGGATCCAGCTCTTCTGTCTTACTGCAAGGAGGGTACCATGCCTTGAACCATTAGATAAAAAAATCAATGGCATAAATGAGTGGGTCCATTTTATTCACAAATTTCATGGCCTCAATTTTAATGCAACCCTCCTATTTCGGTAACCTACTTTGTCATAAAGCAGAGGATCTCAATCCTATTTTTTAGCTAATCGTGTAAAAATACCATGTTCACTTTTTAATTAACTACAATACTCAGAGCAAGCTAATTAAGGGAGTAATAATGGTTGAGTTTTTTTGATAGATATTGATGAGTGTGAAGATCCAAATGAGAATCCATGTGAAAAGATTTGCACAAACACGCCGCTAGGAAGCTATACTTGCTCTTGTCCAGATGGGTACACTGGCGATGGTAAGAAGAATGGGCAGGGCTGTGTTGCAACTGGGTCAGAATTTCCATGGATCAAATTTTCGGTAGGTAAGTTCTTCACTTCTGCATAGTTACTATTTTTTGCGGTTTAAAAATACGGAGTAATGATTAAGTACACTAAGAATTTTTATTAGGAAAAAGGGTCAAATACACCCACCTACCATATCAAAACAATCACAACAACCCCTCTACTAAAAAAAAGGATCACATAAAGGATGACAACTCTCTCCAACAGGTTACCATTGATTTGACATATCTTATCATTTTTTATTTTATGTTTTTGCATTCTTCTTTCCTTTCGTGTCTTATACACCACATATATACGAAACGTACTCTGTCATACGTTCTTAAGCTTCTTTCCTCCTTTTTGTATTTTTTCTTTCCATTTTCTTTCTTTTTAAGTACTCTCTACTTTTTTCCCACTATAATGTCAAAAAGTCTCCTGTTTTTACTATACTTTTGTTATTTAAATCAAAGAAATTTCAGGAGATCTAAAAGATTCAAAAATCTCTTTCGTTTTTATGACTTTTGATTAATTAATACTCCCTCCGTTCATTATTACGCATTCCTTTTTGAGACGTTTTTAATTATTTGTCCTCATTTCCTTTTTTGGTAAGTTTTTTCAATCAAAATACTTTTTTACCTCCACTTTTATTACTCTTACTTCTTTCTCTTTCCTACTTTATCATTTAAACACAAATCACTACACATTTTACATTACCCCTATTATTTTCCCCTTAAAACCCGTGCCAAAGCCTAAGAGGACTATTAATAAAGAATGGAGGGAGTATGTATTCTCTTTTTTTTTTTTGAAAATGGGAGTATGTATTCTCTATGTTCTTTTATTTGCTACACTTTGGATGTTTTTACTTTGACTATAATTTGTTCCAGACCAAACCAGACCAGTCCAGACCAGTTCAGATCAGACCAGACTTGGATAGTTATAAAAATACAAAGAAACCAGACCTTACCAGACCAGACCAGACCAGTTCAGACCAGACCAGACCAGATCAGACCAGACCAGCAAAAAACATCCTTTCTTTTTTCAAAAAAGAATTGTTTACTCTACTTTTCCTTTTTGGTGAGTTTTCCTTTTAGAAAACACTACCTCAGCTTTATTTTTTCTAATTCTCATATTCTCTTTCATATTTTTCCACACTCTCTGTTACTTTTTCTACATTATTTATTACAATTATTTAATAACATTTTTATCCATCATTTTTTAGAAGTAATATTATCAAAAACTTTTCTACAAAAAATGTCGGTTGAAAAACAACTTTTATGAACAACAAGTGTCTGGTACAAACAAAAATGTTTTCAACGGGGTTTTATATCATATTTTTGTACACATTTATCAATCCCCCAAGATCTTTTGTTTGTAAAGTTAGGGTACAGATAAAAATACTGGTCTAAAAAAATCATTTTTACAAACAATAAATGTGTACGTGGCATGAAAAGTGTAAACTTTATCATTTTTTTAGAAACCTTTTTATTTATGCCATACAATTATTATCTATTAAATTCAAATTATCAAATGTACATTTATTTTGTATCTATGGACTAACTTTACCGATGAAAATTATACACACAAATGATTTTGAAATTTTGAATAAAAAGTATATAACTTTTTGCCTAGTTAGAAATATTTTTGTGAGTATCTGAATATTATCATTGATAAAATTTAATTTTTATGTCCAATATATTTTTTGTCCATGTCATACCTATGGAGAAAACGTGTTGGTGTTAAGGATTTGAATATGTACAAAAGTGTGGTTTCTTATAATCTTAACCATGTCAAAATTACAAAAGACTCATTTTTTTTTGTAACCCCAGGGGCGACGGGGGAGGGCGGTTTGGGAGGCCTGGGGTAAACTTGGGATCAGCTGGCTAGACCACTTCCTCTACAAAAGACTCAAAATGTTACGTCAATTTTAACAACGAATACCATGTCACGCCCCAGACCGCAATCCAAGCGCGTGTACAATCGCCGTATAATCAAATGACGTCACCCGCGAGTCAACCTCACTTAATTACACAAGGCGTTGGAGAAAACAATCCATCCATACTCAGTAGTAAACATACATAACAAAATCACATTTAAACCAATGAATAGCGAAAATATTCAAGGGTAAGTCATAAGCCACAACCGGCCAACAAATGGGCATGCAAGCCCCAAAAATAGTTTATAGTAGAGCAAATATCCATGAGCATGTGTTCGGTAGTTTGAAAGAAAATAAGGAAGCACGAACCATGTCTTCCTGAAGTTGATGTCACCCGTAAGGAGGTGCAAGTAGCAAGCTCTAGCTTCAACCTGAAAATGGTGGCCCCCCCCGAAGGGGTCTGTACAAGTACCGAGCGAATAGCAGGCTAAATATAGAATATCTAGCGTTTCAAGTATAAGACCCAAACTTAGGGTGATACTTATACGAATAGTCTTTTCCCCCAAGTTATGAAATACTCATTAGTATATATATACTTGGGAAATATCCGGTCCGTAGATCACCGTTGTATTTGGGAAAATAGTAATAGACATAATCTTGACTAAAAACCCCAACCCACCCATATACCTATGAGTGTATAGGACTCCTCCTTGTCCCTATTTCAATATCATAATCTATGAGTTTTGAGGATCATAATCCTTGGGTACTCCACCAATTTATTATCCGAGTGTTAAGGACTTTTAAGTCCTAGGATCCTCCACCAAAATATGAGTGTTAAAGACTTTTAAGTCCTAGGGTCCTCCACCAAAATATGAGTGTTAAGGACTTTTAAGTCCTAGGGTCTTCCACCAAAATATGAGTGTTAAGGACTTTTAAGTCCTAGAGTCCTCTACCAAAATATGAGTGTTAAGGACTTTTAAGTCCTAGGATCCTCCACCAAAATATGAGTGTTAAAGACTTTTAAGTCCTAGGGTCCTCCACCAAAATATGAGTGTTAAGGACTTTTAAGTCCTAGGGTCTTCCACCAAAATATGAGTGTTAAGGACTTTTAAGTCCTAGGGTCCTCCACCAAAATATGAGTGTTAAGGACTTTTAAGTCCTAGGGTCCTCCACCAAAATATGAGTGTTAAGGACTTTTTTTATTATTACACAATTCAGCGCGCGAAAACAAAAGTTATGTGTTTGGTGAAAAAGTTGGCTGATACGCCTGATAAGCCGATAACAGTGTTACCAAATGGTCTCTTAGTATTTTTAAATGAAAAACTTATCAAAAAGAAAAAATGTAGCAAATAAAAAATATAGGGAGTATATATTAATGAAAAGTCATAAAAGGAGAAAAAGAGTTTTAGAAATCCTTCTAAGATTTCACAGATTTAAATAGGAAAAGTAAATTGAAAAATCGGGAAATATAAATTTGTAAATTTTAGTGGAAGACAAAAAAGGCTAAAGAGTCAACTAGGCCTTTGAATTAGCTTAAAGTGTTCAATTAGCCCCTTATATAGGAGGTTCCGCCCGGCCGTCGCTAATTGGGGCGGTTCCCTGTTGAAATTTTTGATGAATTTTTTTGATAATCTTCTTCATTATGTCTAGTTTACTCATACCAAATTTCAGTTAAAAATTCAATCGGGAAGACAGTCAAATGATTTTTCAAAATGTATTGCGTTGTTTAACTTCGTAGTTATCTTCAAAATATCATTTTAAGAATGAGAAAAGAAAATCAAAAGGAAGAAAGAGACAAAGTTGGCTAGGAAAGAAAAATGGTATACTTCGTATACCGAAGTACGTATAAGACACCAAAGGAAGGAAAAATGGAATAAAGAATAAACAAAAAGAAAAAAACACATGTCAAATCAACTATTAAGGACGTTTTCTTTTGGACTGTTTTCAGTCCCAGACCAGACCAGACCAGACCAGACTTAAACAGACCAGACCAGACCAGACCAGACTTCCGTAGTTATAAAATACACAGAGACCAGACGTTTACCAGACCAGACCAGACCAGACCAGTTCAGACCAGACCAGACCAGACCAGACTTAAACAGACCAGACCAGACCAGACCAGACCAGACTTAAACAGACCAGACCAGACCAGACCAGCAAATTTCAGTCCAAAAGAAAACATCCTAAACCAATGACCTACTATAGAAAGTTGACATCCGGTCACTTGACTCATTTAATCATTTTTTAATAGTAAGTGTATTAATTTGATGCTTTTTTAGTAGAAGGGTTGGAGTGATGGTTTTGATATAGTAGGTGGGGGTGTATTTGACCATTTTTCCTTTTTATTATATTCTCGATTGTTTTCATCTTATTATTGGTAATGAAATGAATTAATTTGCTAATGTAAAAAAGAAAGTAAATAGTACCGTATCTAATTAAATTGTTCTAGTATATCATTCATTTTTTTTAATTTTGTGAGAGCACATCACCCTTTTCTTTTTCTAAGAAATTACTCCGTATAAATACTACGTTCATCCCTAGATATAAGAGGAGGTCCATTGTTGTCATGGCTAACAAGAAAATGAGAATTGTATAATGGATTGATATTGCATATTGAATTCATAAGGTGTGAATAAAATAAAAATGAATAAGAACTTACAAATATTAAAAAATATGATATGCGAAAAATTTAGTGAAACAGGTGAAAAACAATAAAACGAGACAATTTAGATATAGTATATTAATTTTCTCCATTTTTTGAAATCGGTTCTGGACTTGATTTAAAGACTCTTATCTGATCTGATCTGGTCTGGTCTGGTTTGGGTAAACAGAATTCAGTTCTTTAGAAAATATCATTGTTGAAATAAAACATTATAGTAAATACGGAATTCAATTCTATAACAAGAAATAATAACTCATAAATTTATAAGAAATACAGTTATATTTCTAAAAAAAATAAACAATAGTATTCTTTTTTTGTCGATAATTACAATGATATTCTAGTTTTTAAAATATGCAGGGTGGTTTGATGATCAAAAAAATATGTATGGTGGAGATTGGTTTGCGGTTAGGCTATAATTTATCTGATTTGTAAAACTTGGTCACATCTCACTTGCAAATTAATATTCACCCCTTCCATAAATCTAAACAATTTAACTTACACATGAAAAAAACTTAGATATAACATATATCCATAATTTTAAATAGAAATAAGAAATAACGATAGAAACCACAGAGTGTTTTGGAATTATTGTTATTTATCACTTCAAATCGGTAACATATTATTTTTATTTTGATCCTCTAAAAAAAAATTATTTTTATTTTGACTGACCACACACTCCATGTAAAATTTGTCATACAAATGCACAGGTTTGGGGATTGGCTTTTTGTCGTTGATCGGTGGAGCAACATGGCTATACTTCTTTGTTAAAAAAAGAAAACTCATTCAACTTCGACAACAATTCTTCGAACAAAATGGCGGCTTAATCTTGAACCAGAGAATAACCACCACAGTAGACGGTGCCGGAGTAGATGCGACAAAAATCTTCACCGCAGAGGAGTTGAAAACCGCCACCAACAACTACTCAAGTGATCGTGAACTCGGCCGTGGAGGAAACGGCGTCGTTTACAAGGGCATCCTACCAGACAATCGTGTAGTCGCCATCAAGAAATCCAAAACTATGGACGAGAGTAAAATCGAAGAATTCATCAACGAGGTGGTCATTCTCACTCAGGTCAACCATCGGAATGTGGTCAAACTTATAGGATGTTGTCTTGAGGTGGAAGTTCCGATGTTGGTCTACGAATACATCTCCCACGGCACACTCTATGAGCACATCCACAAACCCGACGGCAGCTCCGATTGGCTCTCGTGGGAAACCCGATTAAGAATAGCCACAGAAACCGCCGGCGCACTCGCCTATCTTCATTCATCGGCATCAATACCTATATTCCATCGAGATGTAAAATCGGCTAATATATTACTAGATGATAATTACATAGCAAAAGTTTCAGATTTTGGCGCGTCTAGATTGATCCCTTTGGACCAAACCCACATAGCCACTTTGGTGCAAGGGACATTCGGGTATTTGGACCCGGAATACTTTCGGACAGGTCAATTGACTGAAAAGAGCGATGTGTATAGCTTCGGAGTGGTAATTTGTGAGCTACTAACTGGAATGAAACCGGTTTCAAGAGAAAGAAGCGAGGAGGAGAGGAATTTGGCGGCATATGTGGTGAGATCCATGGATAAGAATCAATTGTTCAAGATTCTGGACCGCCGTGTTTTGAAGGAAGCGGCAATGGAGCAAACAGAGAGAGTTGCAGAGCTTGCAAGAAGATGTGTTCACTTGAATGGCAGAGATAGGCCTACGATGAAGGAAGTGGTTATGGAGCTTGAAAGGTTGAGAAAGTTCAATAAGGAGATGTGGAATCGTGAATTGCGAATCCCACGGGATGATGTTATTGCTGTTGGTCAAATGGATGGTCAAGAGGAGTCTTCATCATCGTTAGACCTTTATACGCTTCCTTTGAACTCTACGGCTTTCAATAGTGAATATTCTAGACAATACACCAATTCTTCAACTAGTTCCAGACCCACATTTCCCATTAATACTAGTCCACGATGATTATGACGTTTGACAATTTGACATAATCAATTGTATCATTATACATTATAAATTGAAAAATTTTGTGCCTTTTCCAACAATAGATCATTACGTTATAGCACTAATTTAAATGGGATATGTTTTCTTAGTCATTGAAATATATGGAACGCATGGGCAATTTTACTGAATGTGATTTTGTTCACCCTCTTTAAAGAGTGTTTACTTCCTGTTTACTTCGTAGTCAATGGCGGACCCATAAATTTTCTATAGCGGGGGTATTGCCTCATGGATGGAAATGAGTCGGGTTGGGTGTACCATCGGCCTATTATGTCTAGTCCGTCCAGAATATTATTTTTAAATGAAAAAAAGATTATTAAATGTCGGTTTCAAGCAACAATGAACATTTCTGAATTACAAGTCTAGTTTTGAGCGTAACAATTCTAAACATTAATATTTGACCTTTCAGTAAGAAAGATTCGGGTATGTATGTTTGTTGATCCTAGGTCTGGTTCTCAACCCAATTAGACCATTATAAACACGAATATTTGTATTTTTAAAACAAAATACAAAATGGGGACTAATTTTTCGATATCACCCTATGTATAAGATCTAATTCCACATAATTGTTGTACTAATAATAGTTATAGGTTTTAGTTACAGTCTAGAACTAAAGTCCTGTCAAACACTACACTTTGTACAATAAATTTACTAGTTTGAAATATAATACTATCAAGTCCCAAATCTTTCATGAAAAAATAATTTTCATAAGAATTATTTGACAAGGATATGTGAATCATGTTGAGATCCGTGTTATCACAAAAACATTATAATCGAGCCGTAATAAAATATGTGTGAATTCATGCCAAAAACATTATTTTAAATTGTTCACATTTGAAAATTTCAATTAATATATATTGAGTACCATAAACTGAAATGAAAATATTATTTTAGAGAAATGATGTAAAAAAAGCTTCAAAGTAGTTCATTCTAATGCAATGAAAAGGGAACTTAATCTCAATACTAGAGATAAAGTTGTCTATTTAAACATTACTTGACATTAAAATGATATTGTTTTAGACATTGTTTTAAATAATAATTCTTTCTACTTCGTTCTTCCACGCAACAATATTTCTTCATAGTCAGTGGCGCAACCAGAACAAAAGTTATGGGGGGGGGCTAAGAAACTTATTAAAACTGAAAATATTAATGCGTGTTAAGATCGGTTTTCGATGGTTTTTCTAGGTTAAAGGTGTCATAAGTCTCATTTTTAGTTCAAGTCATATGACTACGGGATCAAAAGAAGATGAATAGAGCTTGAAAACGGCGATCAGGATGACCTTCTACCAATCATTCAAGCATATCTTTTTGTAGAAACATCCAAAGTACATGATTGAAGTTCCATATGAAAGCTAACTGCAAGGGCTACAAATCATATGAAGACACCATTATGAGAATCTAAGAGGAGCAAGGTCAAAACAGACGATGAAGCCATATGATCGTTGTTGATATTTCAGGATGCGACCTTCCACCATTGTATTCACATCATTTAATTGGATGATTACAATCCAGTTTTGCAAGTTTTGTTGCATAGCAGATTTCATTAGATACAACTTTGGTGAAGGAAGCATAGCCAAATTCGGAAGGGAAAGACGCACGCCATGCACCCGAAGTACACACGCCGTGCGCGGATGAGAAAAATCGTGGGGAGCTACTGGAGGCCACGCACGCAGTACTATAAACTACTACATATTGATTTTTGTTTACTTCAGTTATTTACACAATTACCAAGATAAAACAATGTCAATCCCTAAACTAGTTAAACATTACTCCCTCCGTCCAATTGAACTTTGCCAACTTTTCCTTTTTGATTGTCCCAAAATACTTTGCCATTTTCTTACTAAAGCAACTAATTGATGGTTCTGCACATTTGTCTCTCCTCTGCACTAACATCAACCACACAATTTTCACTTTCCTTATTTCTCACTACTTCAAACTTGGCAAAGTCCACCGGGACGGAGGTAATATTAAACATCTAAAACTTTTTTTTACTTTAAAAATCTGAAACTTTAAAACCTGAAAGAAAAACCTGAAAAAGAAATAATTAAAAGAATAGTCAGCCTAAAAGAATATACTAACAAGTTAAGAAGAAAAACATTACAACGCAAGTTAACACATTATCTCAATTCCGCAATTCTAAAAGTGAAGCAACAAACTGAACAAAGTGGGAAGGCTGAAATGCAAGTTTAAAACTATAGAAGTATAAGAATAGTTATTATCGGCAACCCAAAATCCTTTTCTTTTTTGTCAAATCTTTCTAACCTATTATAGTATTTGTTCTGTTATGGCCTGTTTGGGTAAGGTAGAATCAATTAAACCTAGTGTAATAAATTAAACCTAGGTTTTAATAAAAACTAGGTGAACCTAAGTGAACCTAGGTACGCGTATAAAATGTTGTTTGGATAAAAATCAAGTGAAGCTAATATAAGTTAATGTAATATATTGTTGTTTGGATGGAGGTGCTCTAACTCACTAATGACATATATATCCTTCATATGTATAAGTGCGTGAATAATGTTAATGCTCCACACAAGCTTTGACATAGCAATAAACTCAATATAAAGACATGACTTTTGCTCCTACAAAGGTGAATTTAACAAAACTCTTGTACCGGTAAGCTCAAACATATAAAATAGATAAAAATATCTATCACACATTTTAAAAAATCCACAAGAATTCATTGCAGAAACACATAAAATAAGATGTCCATCAAAGAGTTAAAAAAAGGTGCTTCCTAGCATTCGACAATTTAATAATTTGTAAACATGAAAATATCTAATATCCAACCAAAGTGCCGTCACATGAGTCTCAACCCGACGTAATATTAACATCAATGAGCTTAACTTCCATCAACATCAAGAGTAACGTGGTGCTCCGATCACCACCTGGTGCTCCAGTAATAATGCGGAACTCCATCTGATTTCTTCAAAGATACAAAAATACTGGGAGCCTATACCTAGAATCAAAGTCCATATCATCCAATAACTGATTAATCTCATCGGCCGGGGTAAGTGGCATGTCATTAATTGAACGTCCAAGCTTCTCAATACGAGATGATAACATTCCCTTGCACTTTTCAAAAAACAACTCCATATCCACTTTAGACATACCCCTTTTTTGCCACGTTTAGCACCACTTGAGTTAGCATGAGTAGTACCTGATTCCACATCAACAGTAGCTGGAGAGGTTTCATTAGCACCAGGGGAGCTAAAACCTTCAATATGAATTTCATCTTGCTCTGTCATATTGTCAATATCATTGATCATACTACCTGAGCCAGAATATTGTTGTGCAGATGCAACTCTTCTTGCTCTGATTTCATAGGCAGTGTCAACACCTTCTCCAGTAGCCCGATCCTTGCCATGTAGTTCTTCCATCTTTTTATAGTACGGAACAAGCTTATCTTTCCATATATGTGCTTCTGGATGAGCCTGTCATAAAAATATGAATAACTATAATGCACGATGTATTAAATATTAAAACCCATGTCAAAATAAAAAAATTTACCTGAACAAATTCATTCCACACTTCTGGCTCAACCTCCCATGTGTGAGTATTCTCATTATAGCTCCAACCACTTTGAGATGCATTTTTAAATAAATCATACACCTTTTGCCATGTCTTCTTTAGAGTCTTGACTCTATTCTTTAACTTATCTTTATTCCAAGTGATGTTTGGAACTTTTACTTCTAATTCCTTCAAAATCTGATTATAAGCATGAGCATTGAAAGTACCATTAGGGCGATTCCCTAAACGAGTTTGATTAAGATGAGAATCGAGTAGGAATTAATCCATATCACACGTCCAATTGGTTCTTTCATAAGTTGAAGTAGTATCAACTCCTTCGGTGCGGATTCTTTTTGGAGCCATTACACTATCTCTATTTATAAACAAATAAAGTCAGTAAACAATGCATTAAACTAAAACAAGGTTACATTGATAATATTTCAATATTAAAATAAACTGTTTTAATCTTCTCTTGTAGAACGAGGCAATTCATACGAGAGCCATGAGCAAACAGATAAACATAAAAACAAATTCACAATTTTAATAGCTAATGTACTCCAGAGATCAAATAAGTCTAACATATTTATAAATACATTTCCTGTGAATACAATTCAGAAACACCTTAGTGGTGTAATCGCGCCACATTGCATTTCCAATACGATCCCTAACAACTTGTCCTCTTGTAACATCATCTTCTTCACTAACATCATCTGCCTGGTTTTCATGTTCAACAGCAGTTCTATTGGCAAGTTTTTCATCCACTTCTCTGAGTATATCTTCATCAGGATCGACGCCCATAATAAAATTATGTAAAATACAACACGCTAATTTGATCCTTGTGTGTGTCCTAACATCAAAATTTGGTTCATCTACGCTAGCCGTATTTGGAAATCTCTTTTTTAAGACCCCAAATGCTATCTCAATAGCATTCCTGAGCGATGAGTGTCGCAGATTAAATAGCTCACGCATAGTCTTTGGTAGGTTGCGTGAATACTCTTTCAAATGGTATCGCTCCCCTCTATACGGTGGAATCAAGCCACCCATCACACCAAAACCAGCATCACCAAGAACGAACTTACATGTGAAAAAAATCTATGAATTAAGTGTTTACTTAAAGCGATCATGGTTTACATAATATTACAATTTTGGGTTATATAAAGTACCCCGTGGAAATTTTAATGGACATGATTGCTTCAACGAACTTTTTAAAATTTGTGAGTCAGATGTTGTTCCTTCCCAACCAGCTACGACATATGTAAATTTTAAGTCAATGGTGCATGCGGCTAAAACATTTTGTGTGGTATAATCTTTTCTTCCATGATACCTAGTAGCATCTCCGGCAGGGACTTTAACTCGCCCATGAGTTCCATCAATTGCTCCCACGCAATCCTAATAATAGTTATTTATTCTTGAAATAGTTTAAAATGTGTACAAAATCTGAATTTAAATATAAACTATTTAAATTTAAAAAGTTAATTGTTTTCACCTTGAAGTAGGGGTAGAACTTTGGATCATTCCGGATCTCCGCTGGTGTGGACAATCCATTTAGTTGTCTAATAAATTTATCTTCTAGTTCTATGACAGCTCGTAAGACGTTGTGAAAATGACGACTGATAACTTCTCCAGACCTACCATAAGTTT